TGGTCTCTGCTGTTCGTCCCTCTCTCATGTGCAGGCCTCTTCTGCCAACTATTGTTTGTTTGTTTAGTCACAAAGTCCTGCCCAACCCATCACAACCCCATGGACAACCTTCCTCCAGGCCTTCCTGTCCTCCACCATCCCCCGGAGTCCACTCAAGCTCACACCAACTGCTTCAGTGACTCCATCTGACAGCCTCATTCTCTGAAGTCCCCTTCTTCTTTTGCCATCCATTGTTCCCAGCATTAAACTCTTCTCCAGGGAGTCCTTCCTCCTCATTAGGTGGCCGAAGTATTTGAGTTTCATCTTCAGGATCTGGCCTTCTAAAGAGCAGTCAGGGTTGATCTCCTCTAGGACTGACTGGTTTGATCGCCTTGCTGTCCAAGGGACTCGCAGGAGTCTCCTCCAGCACCACAGTACAAAGGACTCAATTCTTCGGTGCTCAGCCTTCCTTACGGTCCGGCTTTCACAGCCATACATTGCAACTGGGAAAACCCTGCCAACTATTAGGGGGTTTTAATATATTCTAACAAAATTTGGGGCAACAGAAACACGTGTAACTCTTTGGTTACAGTAGCAGAGAGTTCCTAAGGCCCAGAAACAGGGGTTTGCATTTGCTAAGATTAAGAATCCCTACATGTCAGCCTAGCTAAAGAAGGAGCAGTTTCCCCACAGGGGTGGTGATATCAGGGAGAAAAATACAGGAGCATTGCTAATATTGCTGGAAAATGTGCACAAAACACAAAGAGCTCTCTCTTCGTGTTGTTCTAATGTCCCGAGCGTCCCATAACTCACAGTAATGATGTAAACACTGAAATCTTCATATGGCCAGTAAAGTTGCATGCTAACACCTTGCGTGCATTTCACCTGAAAAGCCAAACTGACAGTTCCTTGTCTGCGGGTGATTGCATATTTGTGTTTTATAAAATGCATATAAGTAAAGGTTGGCATGCACTTGCTCTGGCCAGGATTCTGACTGCAGGTTTGAGTTATCCCAAGAACTTAGTAAGCTCAGTTCAGATGTACTTATACGAAGGCGTTTTTGAAAAGACAAGCAGGTTACTCCACAAAAGTGAGCATCAACACTCAACAGGAACCTGCCAGCTAAGAGACCCTGGATTTTGCAGGCCAGACTCAATACGGCACCCATTTTTATGGCCTTCACAATGACCTACTGTTGGCCAATAGCAATTTTAGCAGGACTCTGGAAAAGTGAGGCCCAAAGCAGAAAACTGTAAACTCCTGCGGAGATATGATCTGTGCAGTTTACACAGGATAATTTCCTAAGGTGTACATTTAGACTGAAGACAGGCCTACAACTCTGGGGCCTCCTGGGAGTTGCAGTCCTTTTTGGTCTAAAATTGCATTGGATCATGCCCTTAACAACTCAGATTAAATTGGAGTAGCTTTACATTTTCTCCCCAAGTGTCCTTGAACTACACATTTTCTCAAGTGGAAACCTAACTGAACTCAAAAGAGTTAATATCATATGTTTCCTTATTTTTGCACAATCCAAATGATTGCTCTGGATAGTACACTGTTTAACTTGTTCAGGGTTATGGAGCAGCCGTTGTGAAATAGGTGCCTTAACAAAGATTTTTGGGGAGAAGATGCAGGTCCCGTCTTCCAAAAGAGAAAAGGGCTGTCTGTGAGAAGAAGGATCCTTGGGTCCTATTCTTGAAGAGACTAAGAATATTCTACAACAATATGGAGAATATTCCAGAACACTACTGCTCTCCCCATTTAGCAGGGTCTCCTACTTTTTTATGTAGCATTTTCAAGCCACCAGTACCAACTGATCCAGCTTAAATCTGAACCCAACCCAATATTTGGTAGGTAATTTTTTAAAATCCACAATAATGATAGATTGTTGGTAGTTTGCAGTTTTGGCAGGGATTCCCTTCTCTCAACAAAAAAAACCTCATCCCTGTCTCCAGCAAATTAGGCCATTAGAATTTGTGATCTGTAATAGATCAGAAGATTTAGATCTGCACATTGTCTCAGTTCATGGGGACCAGCAGGTAATCAACTAACTCCAGAGTGATCTCGTTCTCCTTCCTACCCACCGTTCTTTGGGCTTCCATAACAAAAATACAAGTCTCCATAATCATTCACTCCAGTAGTTTCCAACAAGGCTGAATCTTCTGCTCCCATTAAGATAAACTTCATGGAATTGTTGGTCCACCAAACCCATCAGCTGTAGATCCTGTAGACAATGGTCAGGGATGCTGGGAATTGCAATCCAACTGCATCTGGAGCATGACAAGTTCCCCCTTCTTGCCCTGTTGCAAATCATGCCAGTGTCTGTCTCCTGTACCTCCTTCTGTTGTTTTCTCTGTGCAGAACTTTAGTATTTAATAATATGTAATTATTAAATTTCACTATCTATGGGTGTGATAGCTGGAGAGTGAAAAAAGCTGAGGAGAAGACAATAGGTGCATTCAAAACATGGTGCTGAACGAGAGCTTTGCTAATTCCCTGGACCAACCGAAAGATGAACAAGTGAGTCTAGATCAAATCAAGCCAGAGCTTTCCCTAGAAGCCGAAATGACAAAACCGAGGGCTGTCATACTTTGGTCATGAGAAAGGAAGATTCACTGGAGAGGACAGTCATGCTAGGGAAAGGCAAATATGAGATGGATTAACTCCATGAGGGAGGCCACAGTCTTACCCTGCGAAAGACAGGGTAACTTGGAGGGCTTCCATTAATAGGGTTGTCATTCGCTGCAGATGACTTGACAGCACATAACAATTATTAAATGAGCATTTCATACTATTTGATAATGTTTATAAGCTGTACTTGTGCCTTTAAAGCAAGGTTGGGTAACCTTTGGCCCTCCGGGGGTTTGGGGCCTACAATTCCCATCAGCCCTAGCCAGCATAGCAAATGGGAAGGAATTATGGAAGTTGTAGGCCAAAGCATCTTGAGGGCCACATGTTGCCCACCCAGGTATTATCATTGCCCCTTTTTTCTTTCTGCAAGAATCCAAAATGGCTTCCACAGTCTTTATTAATTTGTTAGATCTATATGCTGCTTTTTGCTTAAGATGAATTCTGCCTTTGACTTTCCCTAGCATGATGGCCTTCTCCAGGGAGTTTTGCCTTCTCAGGATGTGCCCAAAGTACAGCAGGCTCAGTTTTGTTGTCATTTTTGTTGCAGGGAAAGCTCTGACTTGACAAAAAAATAAATGCTGTGTTTAAAGGGGCTCCAGGTGATTTACAACCATCCCTGCCCATTGGCTCTGTCAGCTGGCTGGGGCCTACCTGGAAGACAACACTGAGTCACCTACTGCAGGGTTTCCCCTGGTGGGGAAGGCCGGAAACTTCCAAAGGTACCAAGTGCCAGTGCAATGCCTGCATGACGGAGGTACTTTTGGAGGGTATTTCCTTCAGGTACACCCAGCTGTGTAAGGTTATACAAGGAAAGGGGACCCTGTGGGTGTAACTTTGGTTTATTTTTTTAAAGTTTTTTAAAGCCGTTACTTAATGTGTGTTTCAAACATGCAGTAACATCTTCAGTCACTAGGTGGCACCACATACAGTTTGAAGCCAAGGGAAGATTAAGTATATTGAGGTACAGGATTATATGGATGCCTCCTCCCCTCTCCAGTGGGGTGGCCCACCTCAGGGCAATGGAGTAAACGGGCCCATCCTTCACACGGCTAAAGTGATGTATCCATGGCAGGGCCTGTAACTACGAGTGCCAACAGGCATGGACTGATTCGAATGGGGGAGATACTGTGTCTCCAAGCATAACTGTTGGTGTAAATTTGATTGCAGGTTCCACTGTATCAAGCTAACTGTGCAAAGCTAAGATTTAGATAAAAATGCAGAGCTCTCTGGACGTACTTAATTTAGTAGATTAACAGCTTTTGGAGCCTTCATTCTCTGTACCCACCCACTTAAAGTGTAACTATACATGGAAGTGTGTGCTCTGAATAGGCATCTCCTAAAACATTTGCAAGTATTTCAAGAACAACAAAAATATTTATTTTTATACCAATCACTTGCTCTGATAAAGAAGGAAGTTCACGACAGTACAAATACATTACAATCAAGCCCAAAAATACAAATGTCACAATAGAACCTATCAAAATGTCTCCAAGCAGAGGTCTGAGGAATTCAAAAGTTTAAAAAAATGAAATTTTCTTGTTTACAACATTTCATCCACAGTGGCCATCCCCTAACGCTGCCATTAAGAAGGAGGCAGGACCAGATGGCTGAGCAGCAGTGCCTGCCCCATGCCAGCAGGGGGCGGAAGCATTAGCTGGTGCCCTCCAGAGTTTTGCATTACAGCTCCCATCAGCCCTGAAAAGAATGGCCAAGGACGAGGGAAATTGTGCTCTAAAAATTCTGAATGGAATTAGATTGCCTACCATTGCATTAGAATAGACTTCATATGCAAGCACAAAGCTTCAGTGGAGCTATTATGAAACAGGGAATTAGTCAATTTTGAGAGGAAGAAAAGGTTTTGCTCTTACCAGTTCAGAAACTATCAGCAGTCAGATCTACCTTGCTGATCTACCTCAAATCATCTGCTGATCTACCAGCAAATCCCAATCTACTTTCTCCCTGCCTGCCAGCATAAAAACCAAGCCTTATTTTGATTTTCTGGACTATTCAATTTTTTAAAATTTAGGATATCTCACAAGCCAGGAACAGATAACTCCCTTTCTGCTTGTATTCTGAAATAGCTATCACTATCAACAAGAATAATATATATATTAACAAGGATGATATATTAATACATTTCTGAGAATGTACAAAGCAGTAAAACAATTAAAATACCGTATTTTTTGCTCTATAAGACGCACTTTTCCCCCCCTCAAAAGGGGAAATGTCTGTGCATCTTATAGAGCAAATATGTGTGTGCAGTAAGTTTGTCAGATGTGCAGCCCATGGGGAAGTGATGGGGAATGTGCCTGTGATTATGTGCCCATTTGATTCAGAATATTTTTTTTCTTGTTTTCCTCCTCTAAAAACTAGATGCATCTTATGGTCAGGCGCGTCTTATAGAGCGAAAAATATGGTAATCAATAACATAAACCAAACTGTGAATAACAGGATAGATTTAAAAGTCCAGTCCTAATACTAGCATCGTCTTATCGAAACAGTAGGACTGCAACTTTTAATCTGACCTATTAATTGGTTAGCCTGGAGGAATGTTGTCCATGGGGTCGTGATGGGTCAGGCATGACTTTGCAACTAAACAAAGCAAAACAAAAATAAATAAAACCCAGTAAAGAACTATTTAATCAACTAAAAAGGCATCTCCAAATAATATGACATTCTATTTTAAACCAAAAAAAACTTCACTCTGACAAGAGGAGAGATATGCATGTGCCATCTAAACATGAAGAAATTATGCTTTAAAAAAACTGTTTTGTGATCTGTGCATTGATAGGTTTAATAGGCTGATCAATTAACTTAAGATATCCTTAAGCAGGATATTCCTAATAAATAAGATAGTTGACAAGCGGCTTGAAGCTAACTGGTGAAGTGCCTTTCGGTCAGGGCATTCCATCATTGTGGCACCAAACACGAGAAACTCCTCATCCTGGCACTATACAGCTTCACTTCCTCTGAATAAGGGGCCCAGAGCAAAGCTTCTCTCTCAAACCCACCAGGAAGATTCCTAGATGCGGAAATGCTCCAGCCTCGACACGCATACAGCCCCTATCCCTTGTGGATTCTCAAATGCATCTTAAGTTTTGAGCTCTGATTGAAGCACTTCCCACATTCAGTACACCTGTGTGGCTTCATCCCTTTGTGAATCCTGAGATGGGCCACAAGGCTGCCTTTGACATTGAAGGTTTTGCCACAGTCGGGACATTCAAATGGCTTCTCCCCCGTGTGGATTCTCCTGTGTCTAACAAGATCAGAGTTCATGCTGAAGGACTTCCCACAGTCCGAGCATCCAAATGGCTTCTCCCCTGTGTGGATTCGGTGGTGCCTGATTAGGTCATAATTCATCCGGAAAAACTTCCCACAGTATGAGCATTCGTAGGGTTTCTCTCCTCTGTGGATCCTGTAATGCCGAAATAGCCCATACTTGGTGCTGAAGAATTTGCCACAGTCCAAGCATTTGTACGGTTTCTCTCCTGTGTGGGTTTTGTGATGCCGAATGAGTTTATCTTTCATTCGGAAGGATTTCCCACAGTCCAAGCACTTGAACGGTTTGTCATCTAAGTGCGTTCTCTCGTGAGTTTTGGGATTTGAGCCCTGCCCACATTCATTTGGGGTCACAGGTCCATCTCCAACACTAGTTTCATCAAGTTCATTGTAGCTCACCCTACTGGGAATGGCCTGATCTATTACTGGCCTCTGAGGGCTTCCTGGTGGCCTCCATGTTCCACAAAGGCCCTCAGTGGAGCCTGCCGGCTTGTGGTGTTTGCACCTGTCCTCTGAGGCTCTCTCTTCTGACATCCCTTGAGCTTCTTGTGTAGTATTTTCCTGCCTGCCATGAGCGTCGTTCTTCCTCGCACGGCGATTACCTGAAGAAATAAAAAAAGATTCCTCACATGAAAGATCTCCTGAACCTTGAAGATGCATCATGATTCCCTTGGCTGGCTGGGAAATGCTGAGAATCTTAGGTGTTTTCTATCTAAATATGTATAGGGTGCCCCTCTTGATGTAATTTACATGTTACATTATACTGGAGCACTGAATCACCTGAAAAACATGAATATAAACTTGGCTAATATTGTATCTGCATTTAGCTTCTATCCCTTCATTGCTGTAATTAAGTTGATGAAATAAAAAACTCTACAGAAAAGGCAAGGATGGGGAAATTTTCTGTTCCACAACAGAGGCAGGAAGTCAGTTCTTCGTGCAGTGGTGCCAAATCCATGCAGCCTTCTCCGTACATACCCACCAAGTCGGTGTCTCCTTCGTCCTCCTCCTTCGCAACGTTCCAGATCTGCCCCTCTGCGCGCCCCATTGCTGCTGCCTCATCACTGGGAGCATTCACAGTGGCCTCCTGGAAGGGACCAGACTCCTGAAATGGCAAGGATCATGCAATGAACACATCCTGTTACTCCAAAAACTCTGCAGACATCCAAAGGAGAAAACAGAGGAGGAAGTTACTGCTAGCACATCATTAGAGCGAGGAAAAGAACTTCCATGCTGTCCTGGGGAAAGCATGGAAAGATTTAAGATGTAATAAGTACAAGGGGCAAAACACTATGGGCAGAACAATCCTATGGCCCTTAGACAGCATCCAGAGAACTGTGAGGATCTTCATTTCCCGGACCTGAGGTCAGAAAGAGCTCTGACCTCGGAGCTAGGAACCAGGCTCAAATTCCCTTCCCTACCCCCTTGGCTGTTTCTGTGAAGATGGAAAAGTGACCTCAAAGAAGGGATTTAGGAGCATCTGGGGGAGTGGGAAGCAGAGAAGACTGGTGCTACCCAGATCTGACATATATCAGCCTCCTTCCCCGCTCCTCTGAGGCATCAAAGTTAGCTGAAATCAGCTATTTACTGCTTTGAGGGGTGGGAATAGCAGGGAGGCTCTGCCTGCTCTGTACAAAAAGCCCATAATTCAGAGGGCTGGAGACACCCCCCTTGGACTGTGCCCCAAAAGAGGGGAACTGATGATCTACTCTGCTTTGGGAGCCATAGACTGGCTGAGTTTACAGCACTGAATGTACAGCACTGCAGCTGAGTTTCCCTAGCGCTGAGATTCCAACACTGCTCTAAAATTGCCCAGGAGAGTTAAATAAAGACCTGGTTTAAGTCAGTCCCAAGACCTGACCAGCAAAACTGGGCAAAGGCATGCTTAAAAGCAGCTATGGTACCCCCGCCCAAAAAAAAAGCAGGCTGGGGAATAAGTAACCAATGCAAAGACCAGCCATGGCAGAAAATTAGTTCTAGCTTTTACTTGCTTTTGTTCAGCTGTTGGGATTCAGAAAGCCTTGGCGACTTGCTGAAGATCACCCAGATATCTACCCATACATCTTGATCTATCTTCTGCCCACCTCTGGAGTAGGCAGTCCTGGCCCCGACACATCTGAAACACCCCCCTCGGAACCCATGTCGCAGCCAGGAGCATGCGAGAAAAGTCTGGGCGAAAACAGCCTCACCTGATCCTTCCATCGGCTGGCCTCTTGCTGTGTCGGCAGGAAGTTTTTCACCAGGGCCACGGCTTGGGCGCAGGTCTCTGGGCCGTGCTCCCTCACCTGGCCCTGGATCCCCGGTGGCAGGAGGGCCAGAAACTGCTCCAGGATGACCACATCCAGGATCTGCTCTTTGGTGCGCCTCTCTGGCTTCAGCCACTGGCGGCAGAGCTCCGAGAGCCTGCGGCAGACCTCCTGGGGACCCTTGGCATCACCGTAGCGGAACTGCCGGAAGCACTGGCGGCAGGCCTCGGGGCTAAGAGCTGCCTCCCGCTCCTCTTTCACTTTCCCGTAGTGTCCCTTCTCTGTGGCATCCAAGCTGCTGCGCACTTGTGGGGCTGCGACACTGGGGCTCCTTGCTTGCCCTTTGAGAGGCTGCCAGCCAGCCGTGGCACCTCCCTCACAGGGGAGCAGGGAAGACTTCAGATCCCCCGAGAGAGCCAGTTCTGCTGCTTGCGGGCTCCCCATCCCGGAACGAGAGGACTCCATTGCCTGGAGGAAGGCTTGCCACTGGACTTCCCACAGCTGCTGCAGCCCCTCGGGCCCGACGGATCCCACCTGGGTAGCTGCATGGGCAGCCTTCCTGGCCCCCTTGGATCCCGTCTCAGGACTGGGATTTCCCGGATTCTTCCTCTCCATTTTCACTTCTGGCTTGGGCCCCTGCTTAAGTGTTGCCTGGAAGGGAAGTTGTGGGGCAAGGAATGCTCATTCCCTTCAGTCATCTCTCCTTGCAGGGTGATGAGCCGAATTCAGCCGGTCCCTCTGTTGTCCCTGTCAGCAAAGGAGAGTCGCACCTGCCCGGTGGCTTTGGGCCTCTGGTTACGGAAGCACAAGAGAACAAATCCAGAAAGACAGAGGACTGCATAAAAGCTGAATGGATTCCCAGCAGTTCTCCTTCCCAATAAAAGAAAATAAGTGAGATGTTCAATAAAATGTCTGCGGAACGGTAATTTTTTTTTCCAGGTACAGAACTATTGCTGTTGCTCCACAGAGCAGAACTAGAATGAGTGGGTGGAAGTTCCAGGAAACCAACTTTTGGCTAAAAGTTAGGAGAACATTCCTAACAGCAAGAGCTGTTCGATGGTGGAACAGCTTCCCTGGATGGAAGCAAGCTTACCTTCAATATGGAAACTACGCAGCTGTCTGTGGCGGCTTGCACTGTACCGTGGAAAACCTGCTTTCACCTTTGGATACAATCCTACTTTGTAGGGTTGGGGGAACCCCAAGAACACTGTGTGAGCTGCCAAAGGGGGCTGCTTGGGGAAGGGTGAATGGGCAAGACCATTCTGAGTAGCACAAATAATTCAAGGTGTGGTGGCACAGCCCATAATTGGCCTCTGGGGCCCTCGTAGCGGCGTCATGAGAGCCGTAGTCTGGACAGAAGTCCAGGGCCCCATGCTGGCGAATTAGCAAAAGGGTTCCTAAACACAGCAGGGCTGATGTAACTTTGAAGGAGTTGAGGGAATGTAAAGCCAGCTAAAGGGGCACAGGACACCCCACCCAGAGCCCGAAATCATCAGAACTGAAGAAAAGCCACGCTGGATCAGACCAAAGGTCCATGTAGTCCAGCACTCCGTGCTCACTGTGGCAAGCCAGAAAACGTGCCTGCACTGGATAGAGTCATACTCCCCCTAAAGGACCGGGTTTGCAGCTTGGGGGTGCTCTTGGGACCTGAATTGTCCCTGGAATTGCAGGTGGATTTGGTAGCCAGGAGTGTCTTCTATCAGCTGCGGCCATATCTGGACAGACAAGACCTGGCAACTGTTATCCATGCACTGGGAACCTCTCGTCTGGACTACTGCAACACGCTCTACATGGGGCTTCCCTTGAAGACAGTCCAGAGACTTCAGTTGGTCCAAAATAGGGTGGCCAGGCTGCTAATGAGGACTGGCAGATGGGATCATCTAAAGCCAGTCCTCTGCCATCTCCACTGGTTACCAATTGAAGTCCAGGTCCAATTCAAGGTGGTAACTCTAGTCTTTAAAGCCCTAAATGGTTTGAGGCCACAGTACCTAAAGGAGCACCTCTTCTTATATGAACCTACCCAGCCCCTTAGAGCCACATCTGAGGCCCTTCTGAGGGAGCCCCATCCTCAGAATATAAGGAGGGTGTCTACAAGAAAGGCCTTTTCAGAAGTGGCACACCAACGTTGGAATGAACTCCCCAGAGAGGTCTGCCTGGCGCCATCTTTTAATTGTAATTGTTTTATTTATTTATTGCTGTGAGCCGTCCCGAGGCTATGTAGCAAGGGGACGGCATATAAAAACTTTAAATAAATAAATAAATAAATAAATAATCTTTTAATTCTTTTTTGGCACCCGATGCAAACCTTTTTATTCTGCCAGTATTTTAATTGTTAAACTGTTTTTAATGGTATTTTAACAGAACAGGATATGTCTTTTATGAAATCTGGAATTCTGGTGGGTGCATTTTTATTGTTCTATTGTCGTTTTTAGTGAGTGTGATGTTTCATATTGTCTTTATGTGGTTTTTATTGCTGTTACCCACTCAGGGAGCTGTGTGGCTAATGGGGAGGGTTAGAAATCTAAGAAACAAACAGACCAGCTGCCTGCAGGTTACTCCAAGCAGGAGGGCTGCAAGACCTCTTCCTGCCCAAGTCCCCCAGCAACAGGTGTGTGCAGGCAGCTGGGAAGGAGGGAGCACATGGCCAGCAAGGCTAGTAGCCGCTGATCGCCCCCTCCCTCATGGATCTGCCCAGCCTCCTTTTAAAGCTACCCCAATTGGCGGCCATCGCCGCTTCCCACGACAGCGAGTTCCACAGTTCAACTATACACTGTGTGAAGCAGTCCTTCCTCTGATCTGCTCCAAACCGCCCACCCATCCTTCTGTTAATTTATTTAAAACACTTAAATCTCATCTACACCAACAGGTCTCAAGACTGCTCACAACACAGCAGCACAATTAAAACAGCACGTAAAAACATATAATAAAGTTCCTATCTAAAAAAAAAAAACGCCATAAAACCTTAAAATGCCGGGAAAATAAAAAGGGTTTGGCCTGGTGCCGAAATGAATACATCCTCTCTGGGGAGCAGGGGCCAAAGCTGGGACAGAAAAGGCTTCGTGGGGTGACCCCTTTGGGTTCGAGTGTTAGAGGAGGAGGAGGAGAAAAATCGTCTCCACTTTCCCCGCATCGGGCATGATTTTAAACTCCTCCGTCCAATCGCCCCTCACTCGCCTTATTCTAAGCGCAACAGTCCCAGTTGCGGTAGCCCCTCCTCGTCCGGGAGCTCAGCCCCCTGATCCTTTTCGAGGCCCTTAATGGATTATTGCTCCCTTCTCAAATAATCACTGGCATTTTCCATTTTAAACTAGGATTCGGTGGCCCCCGATGGGAAAAAGCCTCGTCTCTTCCCCAGGTCGGGTTGTAACACGCAACGGATGGATGCATCACCTGGCAGCTTCGGAAGCCCCCGAGGCAAGCGCGCGGCCGTCCTCCCCTGTCCCCTGCCCCTGATGGGGTGCATCTATTCCACCCCACAATCCTCCTTTTATGATCTCCCTTGCAACTCACCGCCGCCTCCTCCACGCAGCCGCCTCCAACTCTTCCCTGCACCGAGGCAAGCCCCCCTCGCAGAGGGCTGGAGCGCCAGGCGGCTCGTCCTCCTCTCTCTCTATGGTAGCGAGCCCCCCTCCCCAGATTTCTCCCTTCCTCTCTAGGAACCTGATCCAGGCTCTTGAATTAACTACTGCAGGACCAAGTCGCAGAAGCTCCGCGGGAGCACACTCCAGTTGGCTTCCCTCTCTCTCTCTCTCTCTCTCCATCTCATGTATCGATGCAATCGGCCTGCCTTGCTTTTTTCAGACTTTGTATTTTACTACTTAGCAAACGCATTTTATTACATTTGTTCTCTGTTGGTATGCGTGGCCCTGAGCAACATTTGCTGGAAAGCTGTGGTACCATTATTTCTTATTACAATTATTCATCCTGCCTTTATTCCGTTCAAGGAACTCCAGACAGCTTACATATTTCTCCTCCTCCTCCTCTCAGGTTTATCGTGACAACTGTCGTAATAACGATTTTGTAATTAAGAAAGGTTTCCTAATTGCTGGTGCAAATTTAAATGGATTGGTGCTTTCTAAGAGATTATTTATTTATTCATTCATTCATTCATTCATTCATTCATTCCGTTTGTATGCTGCAATAGCCCAGATCTGGGTTCTTTGTGCAATTCACAACAAATAATACACAACTTTCCAAAATCAGTACCATGAACTCAACATATTCAGAACACTGAATTTTATCTGGCCAGGGCGGCTTATTTTATAATGTGTGTCTTAAATTATTATGATTATTTTATATGTATATTTTAACTTATTGGTTTTATTTATTGTTGTAAGCCACCCCGAGGCTTCGGCGAATGGGGCGGCATAACAATGTTTTAATAAATAAAATAATAAATAAAAATATTAACAACATAATCCAAATATAAAACATTAAAATAAGACAATTTATACTAAAATCAACTAAAAAGCAGAAATTGGCTCCATTTAAAACCAGATTGCCACTAAAATCAATTGTCAAACTAGCTGGAGAAGAGGGAAGTCTTTGCTTGGGATTGAATGCTAGCAGCAATGGTGCCCAATGCAACTCTCTGGAAAGCCCATTCCAAAGATGTGGGCCACCACAGAAAAGGGCCTTTCCCTTGTTGCCACCCTCTGAGCCACCCATGGGGTTGGCACTCAGAGGAAGGCTCCGAGGATGAACACGGTGCCTAAGCAGATTGGCTGGGAGAGACACTCCGGCAGGTATTTATTATTTATTTATTATTAATTAAAACATTTCTATGCCGCCCCATTTGCCGAAGCCTCGGGGCAGCTCACAACATAAAGTAAAATACAAAAATAACCATATAAAAATAACCATATAAAATAAATAACAATATAATTGCAGTCCTAAACCATGTAAGATTTTATAGGTTAAAACCAGCACCTTGAACTGGGCCTGGCAGCATAGCGGCAGCCATGCAGGGAGGCCAGAACTGACTTATGTTTGGACCTACAGGTCCCAGTTATTCATCTCACTGCCACGTTCTGCACCACCTGCAGCTTCTGAATGGTCTTCAAGGGCAGCCCCACGTAGAGTGTTCTGCAGTAATCTAGAGACGACCAGAGTGTAGATGACTGAAAACAGGCCATTTCTGCCCAGATAGGGGCATGGCTGGGCCAAAGCTGGTAGAAGGCACTCCAAGTCACTGAGGCCACCTGCGCCTCCAGTGACAAAAGTTGGACCAAGAAGCACTCCTAAGCTACGAACCTGCTCCTTCGGGAGAGGGCAGCCCCATCCAGAACAGGTCGAACACCCACTTCCTGGCAGGGGAACCACCCGGCAACAACCTATCAGGCTTGTCTGGACCGAGCTTCAGTTTGTCGGCCCTCATCCAGCCGATGGTTGCAGCCAGGCACCAATTCAGCATACCCAGAGACTTATCTGCTGAAGACAGAACCGCAAGAGAGAGTTGGGTGGCATCAGCCCACCGATGGCAAAGCACTCCAAAACTCTGGACAACCTCACTCGGCATTCTCAGGTAAATTAAATGTTATGTTAAAGAGCACGAGGGACAGAACAGACCCCTGAGGAACTCCATGCTGGAGAATCCACGAGTATTCCCCAAGCACCACCTTCTGGAGGGTCCTCCAAGTAGGAGCGGAACCGCTGCAATGCTGTGCCCCCAACTCCCAACTCAGTTGGTCACCCCTGAAGGACACCCTGGTCGATGGTACTGAAAGCTGTTGAGAGGTCCAAGCTATTAACAGGATCACACCGTCTTTCTCCCGGCATAGGTCACCATACAGGGTGAACAAGGCTGTTTTTGTATGGAAACCAGGCCTGAACCCTGACTGAAATGGGTCCAGAAAATCAGGCTTATCCCAGGAGAGCAAGGGAAGGAAGGTGGAGCGGCTCCAGGACTATCTGGCTTCTCCAGGCTCTTTCCCTACACTGAAACCTGTCCCTGCCCTTCAACCATTTGCTCCTCTGCAAGATTACTCGATTGATCTTGGAAAGCAGTAGGCACAGTTGTTTCTATACCAGTGGCAGGGGTTGGGGCAAGAGAACTGGAACTCCAGTTTCCAGCTACAAGGTGCTGTCTCGGCCTCAGATCTGCAAAGCCAAACTATTCTCTGGCCTCTCAGATGCTGTTGAGGGGTGTAAGATTGCTCCCTAAATGAGCAAAAGAACACAAACCAGAGACAAATACATTTGAAAATGACAAAAGATGACAGACTGAAAAGCAATGATTTCAGTTCCCTTTTGCTAACTGCATATATATTCAATTTACAGGCTGTTATTTCTATGCAGTAATATAGGAGAAAAAAATAAAGAACGTTTAAGTATCTTTGTTGTCTTAACTTTATGTTAATATGTGTCCTTGACTATCAATCACTTACACAGTGCATCCCATAAACAATTTTTTCCAATTTGAAATAAGAGTTATAGTAAAACTAAAACTTTCTCCTAACTCCAGGTGTATTGGTTGTTCCTGTTGTGATTTTTTTTAAATGAGAAATGAGATGTATCTTCTGATGGAAGCTCATTCCATATTCAAATCATTTATATGAAATTTCCCTAATCTGAATTCTGTGATGAGAAGATGTATCATCTTATGGAAATTCTTTCCACACTCCAAGAATTTATGTGGTCTCTCCTGTATGAATTGTTTGATGGGAATTGAGTTGTGCCTTCTGACTGAAGCTCCTTCTACACCAAGCAGGGATATGGCTTCACCCCTGTGTGAATTCCCTGATGGTACATAAAACTCTGCCTTAAGTAGAAGCTCTTTCCACATTCCAAACATTTATATGGTTTTTCTCCTGGGTGAATTCTTTTATGAGAAGTAAGACCTGTCTTTTGTCCAAAGCTCTTTCCACCCTCCCAGCATTTATATGGTTTCTCTCCTGTGTGGATTCTTTGATGAGATGCAAGATTCATCTTCTGATTGATGCTCTTTCCACATTCCAGGCATTTATATGTTTTTCCCCTTGGTGACAAGTGAGAGTTATTTTCTTACTGAAGCTCTTTCTGAACTCAGAGCAGTTAAAAGGCTTCACCCCTGTATGAAATCTCTAATGAGAAGTAAGATTTGCCTTCTGACTGGAGCTCTTGCCACATTTCAAGCAATATGGATTCTCCTATGTGTATTCTTTGATACGCTGAGGTCCATACACTGACTGAAGTCCTTCATATCCTACATATCCTACATTCCAGATGCTTCTAGCAGTATGTATTTTTTCATGAGAAGTGAGAGTGTTCATATTATTATCATTTACCTGGCACCTATTATTTTTCTTGCTTTTGCTGGATTTCAGTATCATGATATTCACTGCCTAGAGAAGCAGAGGATGTATTCCTCTTCTGACTTGCTTCATTTCTCCTTTGCTCTTCATGCTTTTTACACCTGCCTCTTTTTGGTGACATCTCACATGGTTTTCTCTCCTTTTCTGATTCATACCTGTTCACATCTGGAATGAAGACAAGAAATTGTCAGAGTCAGAACAAGGGCTTCAACAGAACTTTAAAAAGACTTTGGGAAACATAAAGCAGCCCAGAGATCCCTGACATCATACAGGGTGGGAGAACAGGCTGAAAGTCGCCCACCTCCCATGAATCCTCCACAGAGACACATCTGCCACCCTCCTGCTTGACACCCCTCAGCAGGGGACTCTGCCTACAATCTGAGGCTTCTCTGCCCTGTGAGAATCACATTCCACTTCTGCCAAAAGAATCTTTACCTGAAAGAGCAATGAGGATTTGAAACATGCAATGTGGAAAGGATACATAAATGAACAACAGATGCAAAAATCAAGAACGGGTGAACTGGGATTTGAGATTCACAGGACAGGCTGACTTGCAGGATCTGCAGAGAAGGTCGGGGAAGAGGCTCAGGATCTATCCTGCACGCCCAAGTGGCTTTGGAGGGCAGAAGACCTCCCGCACTCCTTTTCTTCCATCCTGCAACCTCTCACTCTCCCCTCTGCAAGAATCCCACTATTTTACTTGCAAAAATGGGCTAGGAAAGTGAATGAGGGTCTGGAGCAAATCCCTTAGAAGGGCAGTCTGGGACTGTTTCTAAAACCGGGGAGAACCGGGAGGCAAGACAGAGGAGCACAACATGATGGTGTGGAGACCGTGGAGAGGGAGACACCTTTCTCCCCCTGGCACCACGCTGGGGCCCAGAGGAGCCATCCCATGAAGCGGTCTGGCAGGGAACCGGTCCAAGAAGGGCGGCTTCGCACGGTGAACTGTGGAATTCGCCCCCGGAGGATAGACCGGCGGCCACTAGCTTGGGCAGCCTTAAAGGGGGTTGCATAATGCGAGCAGAAAGAAGGCTGTCCGTGGCTACTAGTCCTCATGGCCATAGGCTGCCTCCAAGACCCGAGGCAGGATGCCCATGCACAGCCGCTGCTGGGGAACATGGGTACTGGGATGCTGTTCACCATGCCCAGCTAGTGGGCTGCCCCGCGTGGGCCAGAGAGGCGGCATCCCCGCCCTCCCTTCACTCACCGCACCGTCTCGCTGCCCTAGTCTGCTCTCTCCCCTCTTGCTCTATGGCGATGACATCACTTCCTTTCCCCCTCTCTAGGAACGAGACCGCGACGGTTCTCTTAACCCTTAGGGGGCCAAGTCTCAGCGGGCAGCATGGCCAGTTAGGTATCTTCTTTGATATCCAAGCAGGACAGACCACGCCATTGCAACCTTTTGCTTCTGTAACCTTTTGGAAAGTGTTAACCGTGTAACGTGTGACCCTGCAATGGTCAATGCATAAAAGGGCCAACGGAGGACTGCTCGGGGCGCCATCCGGAACGATGCGCTGGTAGCTGGTTATTCCCGAGCATAAAAGGAAGCCTCCCCCCGTTGTGTGCTTTGGGCGTCGGCACACCAGGACAGGGACCCCGTGGGTCTTCTGGAAGCGCGGCTTGACAGCCCGCGAGAAGGAACCACGCAGGCGGCCCCTGGGGCTGGGAACCGGACCGTGGGGAGGGGAGTGGGGCGCTGCAGTGGCGCGCAAGGGGGGCACCGGGGGACCAGAAAGCCGCACCTCTCCGGCCCCCTGTCCTCCTCTTGTGGGGCGGCCTCAGGCAGAAGAGCCCGGCTGGCAACCAGCAACCAGCCCACCGGCCAGCAGCAGCGGCGCCCCCAAGCACCGGCGGACAGCGAGGCTCCGATCCGGCCGCTGCTCCCGCCATCAGGCGAGCCTCGCTCCAGCAGGCGCCGGACTGGCCGGGGCGGAGCAGCTCGCGGAAGAGGCGCGGGGAGGGGCCGCGCTGGGGCCGCGCTGGCTCCCGCGGCCCGCCCGCCATCCCGCCCGCGCTCCCGCCGAGGCGAGGCGGTCCGGCCCGGAGGAGGCCCCGCCCCGGCCTGCCCCCGCCCCCGCCCCCGCCCCCGCCCCGGGCGCGCTGTCCGTGGTGCTGAGCGCCGCCCCGCGCAGCTCGCTCGCTCGCTCGCTCGCACGCGCACGCGCAGAAGCGGCAGCGTCCCGCCGATGCAGCGGGGCAGGGTGCGAGCCGGGGCTGCGACGGGCTCCTCGCTCCCTTGTCCTAAGCAGCCAGCGCCCATTCCAGAGCCCGCTGGGTCCTCCATCGCCTGCCACAAATTGCTCTCCTTTCAAGCAATGTAGTTTTTGAGGGTGCAGCTTTTTATTTGTAGAAAGCACCCCTCGCATTGCTGTTAAAAATAAAGGCACACAACGACTGATAAACGGTGCAGTTGGTTTATTACAGTCTGGCAAGGCTGATCGTAGGTTTCCAATGTTAACAGGGGAGCGCTCTAGCGATCGAGAAACACAGGAGGGGAGCATGGGGCGCAGAGCAGATTTCAGTGTCCATCCGCCCCCTCAGCCCAGTCCCTTCCCCCGCCCCATGCCCAGATTGGGAATGAACCGGTGGCTCCTGCAGGCGCCAGCCAGGTCCCTGACGTGGTGCAGAACAAGCGACTTTTCTCTGGCAAACTGCCCGCCCCCAGAGGCCATCCTTGCCAACTGGCCAAGCAGTTACAGTGGCGAGGACAGGGCCTTTCATTAGCACCCCCACCCCCAGAATGCATCTGCACCAGGAATTCCTTCCGTTCCTTTGTCTAAATCTTCAGGACCTCACCAAAGACATCGCCCACACCCCATGTTCTCATGGAGCAATTCTTAATGGTGCTTTTCACTGCTGGCTTTACTTGCATTTGATGGCTGTAAGGATCTGTACAGTATTGTGTCGTTGCTGTTCTAATACTCACCACCTCTAAAAAATAAAATGCAACACCATAAAAATAAGGTGCTGGTTACTCAAAGAGGCCCCTTCATGGATCGCTGCCTTCTCGCAATGCAGCTGTGAGCCATGCCGTGCAGGGAATTGCTAACTGCTAACCCAAGATGGGCAGGTCATAGCCGAGAGCTCTGACAAAAGGGGATCCACTGGAGGAGGGAAGGGCAACCCACTCCAGTACCCTTGCCATGAAAACCCCACGGACAGGACCAAAAGGCAAAAAGATACGATGCCGGGAGGTGAGCCCCTCAGGTAGAGAGGTGTCCAATGGGCTACTGGGGAAGAAGAGCAGAGGGCTAGTACTAGTAGCGCCAGAAAGAGTGAAGCGACTGGGTCAAAGCCGAAAGGACACAGTTGCAGATGTGTCTGGTGGTGAAAGGAAAGTCTGACGCTGAAAAGATCTATACTCCATAGGAACCTGGAATGTAAGATCGATGAATCAAGGCAAGCTGGACGTGGCTCAAACAAAAGGTGACAAGACTGAACATCGACAGGAGAGCCTGGAGGAAGGTTGGCCATGGGGTCATCAAAGGTCAGACACAACTTCACGAACAACAGAACTAAAAGAGGACTCCCTTCTTTGGTCTAACCTGACTTGCCACTGACTGAGGGGAGCGAGGAACAGGCCTGGCTCAAGACCCAGGATTCCTCGGCTCATTGAGGAAGGTCTGGCAATGCAAGACCCAAGAAAACATGGGGAGCCTTTGCTGGGTTTATGTATTAATAGCTTTTCTATCCCATCCCCTACAGAACTTACAACAGCTTACAATAAATGAATAGAACAGAACAGCCCCACAGCACCTGACTGTTAAGATATTCAAACCCCAATTCAAATCAATTAAACATTAAAAGAAAAGGAAAATAAAAAGGGTTTTGCCTGACGCCAAAAAGAATCTCACCTTGGCGCCAGGGGAACCTCTCTGGGGAGCGCATTCCAGTTGGGGCGCCACCGCAGAGGAGGACCTCCTCTGGGAACTCTCCCTCCTCAACTCCTTACAGGAGGGCTCCTGGAGCAGGCCCCTGCCTCAGATCTCAAGGGGTAGGAGGACACATAGCGAAGAAGGCACTCCTTCAGGTATCCCATCCTCCCCAGGTGCATTTGGACCTGGAAGCCCAAGGTGAAGTGCGGATGCACAGAGGGACCATTTCTCTGCAGAACGAGGTCAAGCTCAGCCAAACCACTGTAATCTGGGTGTGGAAGCTGAAGAAGGAAGTGAGGAAAGCCAAGAGGAAAACAATGGAGCATTTAAAACACTGTGCTGCAGGAGAGCTTGGCAAATAACCCTGAAGAGACAGAAAGGACAAAACAAGTAGGTCCCATATCAAATCAAGGCAGAACTTGCCCTAGAAGGAAATTTTCAACATTTCAGGCAATCCTACTGTGGGCGTATCATGTCAGGGAAAGTCAAAGGCAGAAGAGGAGGAAAATCAGGCATGAGATGGACTGACTCCAGAAGCTTTTCTGGCTTTGTGGTGCTTGAACCAACACACATCAGCTTCAACTCTAGCCTTATACGAGCAGGTTTTTAGTCACTGAATAAGTGACAGCCACAGCTACACAAATTGGAAAGCTAACAGGCATTAGAAAGCATTTGGAAATGGAAAGGATCACAGGTCTCTGTGATCAGAAATGATGTTCTGCAAAATCTAAACTGGGCTTACTTACAACTTAGGCCTCACATGCAACCCCATAACATGAATTGGGTCCGACATCATCAAATCCAAAGTTATTCCTTAACTACAGGACTGGGCACTGCACAAAGAATCTACTAGATTTCTGCTCCTACACAGAAGAGTATCAAACACACATGGCATCACTTTCCTAGCAGTTGCTGCCACAGGATCCCACGCAGCGAAACAACTGAATTACTTTTGGCCCCACCGCTTGGTACCTCTGCAAACCAATGAGACACCTGTCCATAGAAGCCAGAACAAAATGCATCAGTGGTTTTTCTAAAAATAGCTTTCCAAGACTTGAAGCAAAAGGGATACATGTGTCAATTGAAAACACTTTTTAACTTGCTGTACCTGCCCCAGTTTTAACATCACTTGAATTTGGCACAAGGGTGGAATTCATCCAGTAGATCTCTGAAGGTTCATATCAGGTGAAGTGACATTGTATAAGCAACAGTATTTTGAGGGTCATAACACCAGAGCAGGTTTTGCTGCTCACCTTACCCAAAGGAACAACCCCCGCCAAGGAAACATTGCCTGGGCTTTGGTAATTGCTCATGTTGATTCAGCTCAGGAATGCAAACTTGTCCCTCTGTAACACAGTTACTGCAATAACCCAACAGTGATCAAAGGGATCTGAAACCCATTTAATGGGGAAAATACTTGGCAGCTTGCAGGGTAGGGATAATTTATGGTCAGTACAAGAGTACTGTTCATTATGTGCTGCTCGAAGAGATGATTTATGGACATTTCTTGGTTGTCTTGCCCTCAGCTCTTTCATGGCCTTATTAACCTAGCTTTATCGAGTATTTCATCAGCTTCAGTCCTGCAATTTAATATATAAAGGCTGCAAAGGAATCAGTTTTCTGGGTTTCTTGAAGGTTTTATTCCTCTGATTTTAGATTGGAAGTTTAAGGCAGGTTTTCTATATGCAAAACACTTTTACATTTTTCCTCTTTGTGATTGCTTTAATGAGGCAATATACATTCTGACTTAATCTCTTCACATACTGAAACATTGATATGGTTTCCTCCCTGAGTGAATAGCTCTTCCCACATTCTAAACAACGATGGGGTTTCTCTCCCCACCCCACCCCCGGTAAGTAGTTTCCGGACAAATGAGAGTTCTCCTCTGAATGAATCTCTTTCTACACTCTAAACAATAATTATCATTTCTCCCGTGCGTGTTCGTTAATGAGAGATCTTCTGACTGAAGTTCATTCCACACTCCAGTGAAAAAGTTTCTCCCCTGTGTGAGTTTTTTGCTGACAAGTGAGATGTTTCTGCTGTCTGAAGTTCTTTCCACACTCCAGGCAATGATAGGGTCTCTCCCCTGTGTGAATTCTCTGATGTTGAGTAAGCAGATGTGCTCGACTGAAGCCCTTTCCATACTCCAAACAATGAAAAGCTTTCTCCACTGTGTGAGTTCTTTGATGACACGTGATTCTTTTCTTCTCACTGAAGCTCTTTCCACAATGCACGCAATGAAATGGTTTCTCCCCAGTGCCATTTCCTTCATGTTGCATGAGAATTGTCTTGTGAATTGAGCTCTTCCCATTCTCCAGAAAATGGTCCATTTTTTTCCTACCTCTGTGAATTCTTTGGTGAGAACTAACATGTTTATTCTGGCTGAAGCTCTTTCCATCTTCCAAACAATTCAATGCTTTCTCCTCTGGTTGACTTCTTTGACGTTGAGAAGCACCTTCTGCCTGAAGCTCTTTCCACACTCCTTGAATTCGTATCTTTTCCTCCATGGCTGCATTTTGGAATGAAGTTCAGTGTGTAATTCAGAATGGGGAGTTTTCCTAGGTCCAAGGCACTTGTTTTTTCCCTGTCTTTTACAGATGTCTCCTGGTGTTGGAATGCCATGGACCTGAGAAGCAAAACAATTATTCTTCCTATGCCAGTTTGGTTCACTTTTCCTCCTTTGCTCTTTGCTGTTTTTACATTAGTTTCTCTTCACTGACATCTGATGAGGTTCCCTCTTCTCCACTTTCCACCAGTCACCTACTCAAATGAAGACAAGAAATTGGTAAATGTCTAAGTAGCCAACAAAATTCAAACAGTTTACCACCCCCACTTAAGAATTCCAGTGCAAGAAAGCACAGCCACCACAGAAGCACATGTCCCCTTTCTCAGCTAAGCCAATTACCTATTCCGGTGATATGTCAGGAACATTTCAGGCTCTCAGGAAATACGCAGTCCTGAAAGGCTGCACGGTGAACACCTCTTTGGCTCAACACCAACCCCAAATCACCCACTTGCACCTGGCACGGCATCATGGGAACACTGCTGTCTCCTGCCTGGCACTCCTCCTTTCATCACCTGGGAAACGTCCTGCGAGACTCCTCTGTGACTTCGTAATGGCCAGCCTGGCGCTCTCTGCACCACTGACGGTTGGCTCGTAATCGAGCCGCCGTGAGTGTAATGAACTCCCTGTGTCAGCTTCCTAGAGGGCTCCCATCCATCCGTTCATGGATGGATGGATGGATGGATGGCAGCATCCGTCACTGGGCGGTGCCATTCACATGTACGGGGCCAGCCCCATCCCGGGTCCACATCAACGAGGCCGGCTTGGCCTCCCTCCCGGCGTGTCCGCCATCAGCAGGATTCGACCTGCTTCTCCAAGTGCGGCAAACCACGGTGTTCTGCAGGCCTCGGGTAGATCTTTTCCCAATTCCTCCATGTCCACTAAGGAGAGGCAACCTGGGTATCCATGGCCTGGTTTGCATGACACAAGACAGCCGAGGATGCGCGAGAGGCGCTACAGAACAGAGCTCTCTTCTGACTCCTCTGTATTTTCTGCCCTGTAGCTTGTTTTGCACAAGCAGGAGCAACTCCCAGTAGGTTGCCCTATCACCTGAGCCTTGCAGGTGGGCTGGGAGGAACCACTACAGAGAGGGGGCAGCAGACATGCCCTCCTGGTGGGACTGGAAGGGAGCGCACATGGGCCTTTTGCCAGCAGGTCTGCAGCAGACCCTGGCAACCCGAGATAACATCACCCGGCCAGGTTCAGGCAACACCTTCCGTGACTGCATCTTCTTAAAATGTTGCGGAGGAAATCATAATGTGTAACAGCCAACAATTACATAGAGAAATACAACCTCAAAAAGCTAAATAGTATGGAGCAAGTGCCCGTCCTTGTCTTGCTTGGACTTAGAATCCAGTATTATCACTGCACAGGGAAAGAGGGGATCCTACCGAGAGAGGCCACGGTCCCGCGGTTCTCCTCCATGATCTGGCTGTGCTGGGCTCTCTGGCCGGGATCCAGCAGGGCCCACTCCTCCTCCGTGAAGCACACGGCGACCTCCTCAAAGGTCACCAGGGCCTGAATTACAAAACAAAGCAAAAATGTCCCTTCCCAGGAGTAACAACCAGGAATGCTGAATTATCTATATTTATTTTTATTTTAGTGCATTGTTTCGTTGTTTATTTGCATATTTTGATGATGTAAACTGCCCAGACACTCATCTTAACCAATTGGCAGTATAGAAAATACGTAAATAAAGAACAAAGTGAGTTGGCAAGGTATAATCTAGACTATACATTACCTGGAAAGATATGCAGAAAATGAACAACAATTAGAATAGAAAATGTTGGAAATGTAAGGAAATAGAGAGGTCCGCCTGGCGCCGTCATTATATGTTTTTCGGCGCCAGGTTAAGACCTTTCTATTTCATCAATATTTTAATAAGTTTTAATATGGTATTTTTAATATTATATTTTTAACTGCAGCCAGAGTGGGTCAATTTGTTTATGTTGATTTTTGTTTATGTTGATTTTTATGTTGGCATTTTGTTATAATTTATTTATATTGATATTTGTATTTTATTATGTAAGCCGTCCTGAGGCTTTTGCAATAGGACGACATATAAATATCACAAATATATAAATAAATAAATAAATAAATGAGACTTTTTATTGTATGAGGTGGGTATTTGATAAAACTAAGAAATTTGGAAATAGATATATCTGGAAATGCAGAAAATTCTCAAAATTAATCTTACCATGAATGCTAAAATATGTTACTGTATATTATACCAGAGACTCTTCCAAAGATGATACTAGTTATGCAATCATTTAGAGTTATACTGGTTTAAAAATAATATTAAAAAGATTAAGAAAATTCAAAATCCCTTTTTAAAAAATACAGTGGAAGTATGGGAACAATGGAGGCAACGGTTAATCCCAGGAATTTCTCCATTAACACCAGTGGTCGAAATGGAGAAGTTCCCAAAAACAGAATTAAAGGATTGGATTAATAAATTAAAAAATAACCATATATAAATGGGAAGATTGGAAAAATAAGATAAAAATATAATACAATTGAGGAGTATACTGCCAGAGGTTAAACTAAATTGGTTAAATTTAGTTCAATTAGAAAAATAGATAAAGATGGAGGACAAATTTAAAGAGGAAGAAAGAGAATTAACACAATTTGAAATATTTTTAAAAGAATGTGAGACTGAGGAAGAATATACCAGTAAAGGAAGAATTGCCAAAATCTACAGGATATTAATGGAGTTAGGGGATCAGACAAAAAGTTTAAAATCAATTTGGGAAATGGATGTAGGTGAGATAAAAGACAAGGATTGGAAGAATATTTGGAATAGAAAAGTATGTAAGAATATGTCAGTAAGAATTAAAGAGCACGGATACAAGGTGATATGGAAATGGTATTTAACACCAGTAAAGTTAAATCAAATCGATGATAAATACTCCACTATATGTTGGAGATGTGATAAAGAGATTGAAACTTATAAACATATGTGGTGGGATTGTGAAAATATACAAAAGATTTGGATTATGGTATTTAAGGAAATTGGAGAAATTTTAAATATAGATTTAGAAATGGCACCAAGAATGGTGTTATTACTACTGATAGAAAAACAAGATATAAATGAAGTTAAGAAAGAATTGATTGTAAGTATGATAATAGTTAGGCTAGTGATAGTTAAACACTGGAAACAGAATTGAATTTTGCAAAGGCATGAATGGTATAATGAAATATGGAATATGGTAACTAATGATAAACTAACAACAGAAATAAAAAATTTAAAAGGGTTAATGAAAGCAAATGAATATAATGGAATTTGGAGATTTTGTAAAAGTAGTACTGATAGAAGGTAAAGGCTGTAAACCCAATCAAGATTATATGAATTTCTGGATGGGATATGGGTATAATTGAAGAATATTATATATTATATGTGTACAATGGTAGTATCGGTCTCCGGGGTGGTGGGTGAACTCCATTTATTCTTTTTTTAATTATTGTGTTCTTGTTGTGTTATATTATTATTCTTGTAATTGTATTTATGGTTTTTTTCTGTCAAAAAATAAAAAGGGGGGGAAGATTATACTAGTTATTTAAATATATGATAACAGCAGCAAGCGTTAAAATCACATCAAAGTGAAAAGTGGAAGAATGTCCAATTACTGGAGACTGCAAAAATAAGCTAGCTAAATATGTAATATTGGCAAAATTAACTAATTACATAAAGAGAAGACCTGCTGAAGAACTTAATGAAGAATGGAAAGCTTATTGTGAGCAATTTAACTATTGTTTAGGAAAACAGAATTTGTAGAAATATCATTAGAGACATGTATTTCATGCTAAAGTTCTGACATTACTTACAACTGTTTTGATGAATTAATCCGTTGAACTTTAAGTGAGAATTGACTGATTTACCTGTGGCTCAAGGCGAGAAGCGTTTGCTTTCTCATGAACAGGTGAGAAGATGAAAGTAAATGCTGTATTTCTGTCATACCCCTTGATACCTTTTTTCCTTTCCTATTCATATTTTTCTTTCTTCTCTTATTTGCATCTTATTTCTTTTTAATGAAAATTTTAAAAAATATATTACTGAAGAATCTAAACTTGTTGGGGAGCAACAGAAAGAAAAGGCTCTGGCTGTCAGGGGAGCCCTTCCTGGAATCCCACGAGGCATCTCAGCATCCGGTGCATGAAACGGCAAAGCAAGGCCCTGCTACGTCTCGTCTTTGCCCAGAGGAAGGGGAAGGACAGGGAGGTGCTCTGCCCCTGGGAAGTGAACGGGGAGTGGAGGCCCTTGGGCTGCTCCTTGCCCCTCTCTGCCGCAAGCCTTCCCCCTACCTGATCTGGTCCCGCTCCATCATCAAGAAGAGGCCGCTGGGCACCCATTGCTACTGTTTCTCCATCCCCTGCGAGACACAAAGAAGATGGGAAGCAAGGAACATGTTGGGGCCTCAGAAACAGAAACGCAGAAACAGAGCGAGTCAGGAGGGGCCTCCCGGGCCATCTAGTCTGACCCCCGCTCCAGCCGGCTCCGCTCATGACATGCCCACCATGTGCATGGCCAGCCTATCCTTGAATCCCCTCACCAATGGGCCTTCAACCACCCATCTGTCGCTCCGATTAGTCCTGAATGCCTGGGAAGGAGGCGTCATCCAACTGAAACGGGCTTTCTTCTCAGCATAATGCAACAGATTGTGCTGGAAGTGAAGCGCGTCAAAGTGCGCATGGTCAATCCAAGGTGTCTTATCCTGAATTTGGGGGGGGGGGTCAAACTGCCCATTTCTCCCTTTTTGCTCTTAGCAATAAATCACATGGTTGGTTTCCAGGTGCACAAACACAAACGTGTTTTCGACCGCTGTGAAAAGGCTGGAGACAGGCATCTCCGCCCACAAAAGATTTGGTGCCGGTGGAATAAAACTAGCTAAATGCTCCCTTGGAGTCAGAGAGCAATTCCCGGTCGACACCCACCCAGTTGCAGACAAATCCTCACCCCACAAAGCACATCCATTGCTCTCCTGCTGGATTCCCCTTGGTGGAGATCTCTGGCTGGCGGCTGACGGCGTTTTCTCCGCTGCAGCAACATCAGACCCTCCTTCTGCTGTTTGACTTGCCCCCTGAAACTGGAACCAGGATGCCAGACGTGAAAAGGGTTGGCAAGAAACAAGAGAAGCAACGCTGCAGGGGCAGGTGCAGTGCATCTCTCCTCAGGTGATTTTGAGAACACGCTGGACAGAGTTTTAGCATCTCCTCCTTCCCTTTCTCGACTCTTGCAAGGAAATGCTCTCACCTGCTGCTGCTGCTCCTGCCTCCTGTCCTCGGCCTGGCTCAGGAGGAAGCCCTCCGCCAGGGCCACCGCCTGGCAGCACGTCTCCGCTCTGCATTCCCTCACCCAGTTCACCACCTCCGCTGGCAGGACGGCCAGGAACTGCTCCAGGACCACCAGGTCCAGCATTTGGTTTTTGGTGTGTCGCTCTGGCTTCAGCCACTGACCGGAAAGACGGTGCAGTTGGGTGTAAACCTCTCGGGGCCCCTCTGCGCCCTCGTAGCGGAGCTGCCTGAAGTGCTGGCACGGCACATCCGGGCTGACCTTGTCCCCCTCAGGGGCCTGCTGAGACAGTCCTTCCCAGAATCCTCCACTTCTCCCAGCCTTCACGCCATCCAAATCTTTGTGCGGTTCAAGGCCAGCTGTGTCTGGCATGGCCATCTTTAATCTGTGTTTCAAAAAACCTTGAAGGGAGTGGAAGATTTTTTTTCCCTTTTCTGTTTCTGAGCAAAGATCCATCCATGATCAATGGCTTTCCCTTGCAGTCTTATTTGTTCTGCATTCAAGCCCCCTGCCATGCATTCTATCCATAGTTTCTGTATCTGCCATCTTCTCTTGCGTCCCTCTCTCACCCTCAATTAGCATACAATTATTTTAAGTGAAGGCTTGCAGCCTCTTAGACAAAGTATTGTTGTATAGTCAACTACTTTTAAAGATCAATGCATTTTATATTTATTTATTTATATTGCAATTTATATCCTGCCTTTTTCCTACAAAGGGCTCAAGGCAGCTTACATCTTCTCTCCTCCTCCATCTTATCCCCACAATAACAACCCTGTGAGGTAGGTGGGGCTGAGAGGCTGTGACTGGCCCAAAGTCACCCAGTTGGCTCCATGAAAGAGTGGGGACTAGAACCCGGATCCTCTGAGTCCCAGTCCCACACTCTTAACCACTACACCACACTGGCTCTCCAAACAGAAGTACACCTAGAAGCTTGATATTCTGAGAAACATATACATTCCTCTTAACATTAGAAGGCTTCAGCATACATTAAATAATTCAAAATCCCAATAGCACTTCTCTCTGATTTTTGAGGTGCACTGTTTCAGCAGATGGAGGCACTATTCCTAACTATCAGAGTGGAGAACTGCCTCACTGGAACAGAGGAAGACTTTTGCTCCCTCTAAAAGCAGCATGCACTGCTTTTTTCTGTTCATGATTTTAAATCTCTCTTTTTCATTCACTTTCATTTTTCTCACTTTTCTCTGCTAAGTATCAGCTTTAACCTTCTCCTGGAAAGGACTTCCACCAGCTGCCTCTCTCTGCAGGCCTCCCTCACAGGGTTGACCCAAGATCATTTCTAATGTTCAGCAAAAGTCAATCAATCAACCAACCCCAAAGCCCTTTTCACCTCCCAAGAAGCAAGATGTTAATACTGGTCCTTTACATACCGTATTTTTCCATCCACAGGACGCCCCCATGTACAGGAGCCCCCCCTTTTCTTACCCAACATTCAGACATCAATATTTTAAGCGTTAAATAAAAGGCATTTTTATTTAGTGATTAGCAATGTTTACATACCAGTACTCTGATACCCTTCTCTCCTCATGAAATTGAAGCACCATTTTGCCTTTCCCGTAAAATCAACCATCTTCATTTCGCTCGCAAACATTCTTGCCCGACATCGAATGAGCTTGGGTGACACACAGAAGCCACTCTGGTGCTGCTCCAAAATCCAAGTCTTAAGCCTCTGCTCCAAGTCTGGCCATTTTGCTGGTTTTCCTCTCAAGGCCTTCTTCTTTTCTGGCATCTTAAGGAGTTGTTCTTCCTGTTTTCTCCACTGTCTGATCATACACTCAGTGGGAGGACGTCCGAACTGTCTCTCTGCAGCTCTATTTCCATGCTCTTTTGCATAGCTGATTACCTCCAGTTTAAATTTTGCAGAGTAGGACGTTCGCTTACCGGTACTGGTATTCATTTTTTTGTTTTCTGACATTTTCATGGGCTCAGAACGCTCCGACATTATTTATTTATTTAGGAAACTTCTATGCCGCCCCATTTGCCGAAGTCTGGGGCGGTTCACAAACATACATAAACTTCCTTAAAATAATATAAATTACCGCTCCCTTGGCATCTGAGCACTAGCTCCACACGGCATCAGCTGATGTCAGTTACATACGGCTCATGAGTGGAAACCGGTTAGCTTGGCGCTGCAATCGGAAGTTTTGCTCGTGAGGCGACTTGCAGAGATGAGGTACCGGCAGTTTCTCAAACGCGGTTCTCCTTTGCCCCTCCCGCCCCCCGTATATAAGACGCCCCTCCATTTTTAGGTAAATATGTTAAAGAAAAAGTATCGCCTTATACACGGAAAAAGACAGGGAACTAGGAATCTGCTTGCCTTTCAGCAGTCCCCATGCAAGGCCGCATGGGAGGGCTGCCCTGGGCCCCGCACTGGCCTCCCTCTCCGCACCTCGGTGGGCTTTTGCCACTCAGGCCAACCCAGCAGAGCCTGGGGCACGTCTCATCCAGGGGCAGAACTGCACCAGGGGACTCGCGTAGGGGGCAATGGGGGGGAAGCGATGCCTGACGAAGGGGGCCAAGTAGCTTCATCACCACTGCAGGCCGGGTCTGACCCTCCTCCCCAAGTGCCACATCGAGGGGCCACCCGGGCGGCTGACCCGGGGAAGGAGCACCCCAAGCAGATCAGCCGCACCGGCTGCCTCCCTGTGGGGTGAAACTGGGGACAGATCCGGCGCTCCCCGTGGCGCGCGATCCTGACCCCCTGGGCTCGGCTTCGCCCCCCTTTCCTGGGGTCTCCCCGCTCCCCAGCGGCCTCCCCCCAAATGCACCAGGCGGGGGGGGGAGGGAAATCTCACCGAGCCCCGCAGAAGAGCCCGCGGCGCAGCGCCCACCAAGGTTCCCACTCCCCGCGCTCGAAGGAAGGGGGCGGGATTTCCTGCGGAGGCCCCGCTTCTCCGCTCTAGGAATCTCCCTCGGTCCCCTTAACCCTCCCGCGGCCAAGCCCAGAGCCCCGCGCGGTCTCTCCGCGCCCGGCGTGGCGGCGTCTTGCACGGCCGTCGCTCCGGCGCTGCTGCGGCGCTTTTCCGAGCATCTCCCTGTCCCGCTACATGCGCCGGCTCAGCCAGAGCGTGTCTTGCCTTGGGCTGCCGTACTTGATACTCCGCTTAGAGGCTGCGCTTGCCTGGAGCCCGCCAAGGTCCCCGGAGCTCCTAAAACTCCGCCTCGTCTTTTCGCTGGCAAAAGCGGGCAGGGAATCCGCTTAAAGGGAGGATGGGTTGATTTCCCGGACACGAGGGCAAGATCTGCACATGCAGCCTTCCTTAAGAGGCTATTCTGACAAGATCTGATTCCTGATCTTATGCACCCGCTCTCCAGGATTTATTCACCAAATTTAGTATTGGTGAATAAATTTATTCTGCCATTAATATCGTATGTCTTAAGCAGCAATGGAACCGAGAATCGCATTGCCCCGTTTTGCTCAATCACCGTTTAAGTGCCATTTGGCGTTTCTGCATGAGGCTTTAATTTGTATCTTTGCTGAAGCCTCTGTTCGCAGATGTTGTTTAGGATTGAGATCGGCGCCTTTCCACGAGTTGTCTTCCTGCGGGTGCGGGATAGGTGCTGCTCTGCCTTTCTACATATGCTTTCACACAACCAATAAGCGGTAGCATGAAATAGTGAAAATACACGAGGGTTTTCATGCCACCTTTCACAGATGGAGCAGTCTTTCCTCGTTACGAAAAGAACGTTAAAATGGTTGCGAAGGAGACCCCAGAGAATGCCATGATGCAGACACTCTGAATGAGTTGTTAAAATGGCTTTGTATCTGAAGCGTTTGTGGCTCACAGTTTAAATCCTCTTTGGAAAAACACTTCTTATATGTCGATGCCTCAGTGTGATTTCAGTAAGGGCTTGTTGCACCGGCAATCCGGTGCCCTCTGGCCATCCTTGATGCATGTAAGCTTCTGAACTTGGAGGCTTCCATGCAACCAAAGCTTGGGCTTGGCGAGTGAACCCCACTATGGGCAGTAGAGAAATGAAATAAATGATAATGGGAATATTTCAACATACGGATTTGTGGTATTGTACTTGTGTTGTTCTTCCTCTTGTTCTGATTTGCCTATAGCGAGTGCATCAGATTGACTGAAATAGCTTTTTCAGCCAGATATGGCTCCATTTGAGCACAGGCCTTCCATACTTCTGGGGCATCTTTGATGGTTTAACTATGAACAGGGCAATGTCATCTGCAGACAAGCTAATTTTATGAAGAATAACACCATCAACAGTTGATTTACTACAAATTCTATTAGCAAGAGATTCCAACGCAAAAGCAAACATTGGAGGTAATCGATATCCTTGTTGAGTACCTTTTAATTAATTTGTCACTGGAGAAGAGCCTAATGGGAACAATAGATGGCAAAAGGAGGAGGGGACGGCCGAGGATGAGGTGGCTGGATGGAGTCCCTGAAGCAGTCGGCGTGAGCTTAAGTGGACTCCGGGGGATGGTGGGGGACAGGAAGGCCTGGAGGAATGTTGTCCATGGGGTCGCGAGGGATTGGACACAACTTCGCGACTAACAGCAACAACAATTAATTTGAATTAAAAAAATCAAATCCATTAATTCTAATCAAAGCTTGAGTTTTCATATAAGTTTGAATTAAATAAAAAGCTGATCCATGTTTATTTTTTCCATTGCCTTATGAAGAAAGGGCCAGCTGAAATTGTCAAAAGCTTTTTGAGCTCCTAAAGATTTAAGATTTTTACAATGATGGATAACACACATTTTTTAATGAATGGGATTAGATAAATTGCCTAGCTGGAATAAATCCAGATTGATTGGATGAATATGAGAAATTAATTTATTGAGCCTAGAAGCCATAATACATAACAGTAATTTGCAATCAAAGCTCAATGAGATGGGTCTATATGACTCAATTTGAAGTACATCTTTGCGCATAAGAGCGTGCTATTCCTATGCCAATTTTTACCACAATGGCATGAAATTTCACAAAGTTACAACTTTCATCAAATGGACCCCTAAAGCAAGGTTAACCACATGATCAAATTGAGACGTACCATTTTAAAGGCAATACATTCTGAAGCATTACAATATGTTACAATACATTCCGGTGCATGTTTATCTTCTGTAAGCTGTCCTGAGGCTGTGGCAAAGGACTGCATATACATGTTTAAATTAAATTAAAATTAAATACTGAACATTAACCAAAGCAAAAATCTCTTCTGCCTTGAATGAACCTTTGTCTCGGTTCTGCTTAATTCAACATATTGACTCAAAACTGGAATATATGCTTCTTACAAAACTCAATGTTTAATACATCTGCCATTCATTTAGCTGAGAAAATCCACCCCCGCCTGCATTCTGATGATCTGCGAAGTGATTGCTGAGGTTTCCCTGTTGTTTCTGCTTCACCAGGTTAGCAGACTCCTTGCTTGCCATTTGTGAATCCCTACTGGGTTCCCTAATGCAAAAGGAGGGCTGAATCTAAATGAATGTCATTCCATTCTCCACCCATTTCTGTGGTATTGTGCCTAAGAAAGTTATGAACTTAGATGAAAGACCAGATATATCTTCATATTCCAAGTAGTTTTAGAAATTCAATCCTGCATTGTTTCTTTGGTGAGAAGTGGGAGCTACCTGATAATTGAAACTCTTTCCACACTCCAAGCATTTTTATGATTTCTCCTCTAAGTGATTCCTTAGATGAGAAATCTGATTTGTCTTCTGACTGGAGGTATTTCCACCCACCAAACAATGGTTTAGTTTCTCTCCTGGGTGTGTTTTTTGATGAGCTATAAGCTTTCCCTTCTCACTGAAGCCCTTTTTGCACTCTAAACAATGAAAGGGTTTCTCCCCTGTGTGAATTCTTTGATGCCGAGTGAGAGTTACTTTCTGACTGAAGCTCTTTCCACATTCCAAGCACTGATATGGTTTCTCTCCTGAGTGAGTTCTTTGATGCCGAGTGAGATGTTTCTTCTGGCTGAAGTTCTTTCCACACTCCAGGCAATGATAGGGTCTCTCCCCTGTGTGAATTCTCCGATGTCGAGTAAGATGATTCGTTTGACTGAAACCCTTTCCACACTCCAGGCAATGAAAAGGTTTCTCCCCTGTGTGAGTTCTTTCATGCTGAGTGAGAGTGATCTTGTGACTGAAGCTTTTTTCACATTCTAAACATTTATATGACTTCTCCCCTGAGTGAATTCTTTGATGAGAATTGAGGTGTTTCTTCTGGCAGAAACTTTTTCCACAATGAAGACAGTGAAATGGTTTCTCTCCCGAGTGTGCTCTTTGATGACACGTGAGCTCTTTCTTTTGACTGAAGCTCTTTCCACACTCCAAACAATGATATGGTTTTTCTCCCGTGTGAGTGACTTGATGCCGAGTGAGAGTTACCTTATGATTGAAGCTCTTCTCACATTCCAAACATTTATATGGTTTCTCCATTGTGTGAGTAATTTGATGGCAAGCGAGATTTTTCTTATGACTGAAGCTCTTTCCACACGTTAAACAATGAAAAGGTTTCTCACCAGTGTGAGTTCTTTCATGTGCAATGAGAGTTATCTTCTGTCTGAAACTCTTTCCACACTGTAAACAAGGATATGGTTTCTCCCCTGTGTGGGTTCTTTGATGCTGAGTGAGAGTTGCCTTTTGACTGAAGCTCTTTCCACAATCTAAACATTTATATGGTTTCTCCCCCGAGTGTGTTCTTTGATGACAAGTGAGATGTTTCTTTTGTGTGAAGTGCTTACCACATATTAAACAAGGGAACGGTGTCTTCTCTGTGTGAGTGACTTTAAGCTGAATGAGAGTTGTTTTTGGAATGAAGCTCTTCTCAGATTCCAAATGTTTATATGGTTTCTCCCCCGTGTGAGTAATTTGATGGCAAATTAGGTTTTTCTTATGACAAAAGCTCTTACCACACTCCAAACAATGAAATGGTTTTTCCCCAGTGTGAGTTTTTTGATGGCAAATCAGGTATTTCTTATGACTAAAACATTTTCCACACTCCAAACAATGAAAGGGTTTCTCACCAGTATGGGTTCTTTGATGTGTAGTGAGAGTTACCTTCTGTCTGAACCTCTTTCCACACTCCAGACAAGGATACGGTTTCTCCCCTGTGTGAGTTCTCTGATGATGAATGAGAGTTATTTTCTGTCTGAAGCACCTTCCACACTCGGAACATTTATATGGTTTCTCCCCGGTGTGAGTTGTTTGATGAGAAGTGAGATGAGTCTTCCGGCTGAAGCTCCTTCCACACTCCAGGCATTTATGTGGTTTGCTCCCTGTGTGAGTTCTTTGATGAGAACTGAGATGTTTCTTCTGACTGAAACTCTTTCCACATACGGAACAGTTGTACGGTTTATCCTCTGAGTGTGTTCTTTGATGATGAATGAGATGTTTCTTCTGACTGAAGCTCTTTTCACACTCCAAGCAATGATAGGGTTTCTCACCGGTATGAGTTCTCTGATGACAAGTGAGATGTTTCTTCTGACTAAAGTGCTTTCCACATTCTGAACAAGGATAGGGTTTCTCCCCTGTGTGGATTCTTTGATGCTGAGTAAGAGTTATCTTCTGTCGGAAGCACTTTCCGCACTCCTTGCATGGATATGGTTTCTCCCCTGTGTGAGTTGCCTGATGACAAGTGAGATGCGTCTTCCGACGGAAACTCTTTGCACAGTACAGGCATTTGTGTGGTTTGTGCCCTGTGTGAGTTCTTTGATGGGAACTGAGGTGTTTCTTTTGACTGAAGCTCTTTCCACACTGTAGACAGTCATACGGTTTCTCCCCTGAGTGAGTTCTTTGATGAGAAATGAGAGCCCCTTTCTGAC